AGCCAGAGGTCAATTTGGATCTAATTACACTAGAACATCAGAAGTTTTTCAAGCATCACAATACTTTCCTTTGACCTCACCACAGTATTCCTATAATCCTACTTAATACCAGCTTCAACTAGTTTTTTACCCTATACCAACTCAGGACCACAAGGTACAACCTCTACTGGTTTCCCAACAAGGCCTAATACAGTCTCAGAATAGTCTCCAATGCCTGCTAGATCTCACTTATCTGCATCTGGTCATCCTAATCAAGTGTTCCTGTCACAAACTCAATCACAACACTGCTCAAATCCTGCTGCCAATTATATTGTTGGACCTTCCACAGTTCAAGATGCCTCCTGGTGCATGGACTCTGGAGCCATAGATTATGTGACTTCAGATTTGGCACAACTTTCAGTCAATTTTACCTACATTGGCAATAAGCAGCTTCAGGTTGGAAATGGTGAGTTGCTTTCTATCTCCCACGCTGGTTTCACTTCATTGCCTTGTCATTCTAGGTCTCTCTATCTAAAACAGGTTTTATATGTACCTCATATCACCAAAAATCTGCTAAGTATTTCTAAATTTATTAAAGACAATAGTGTAGTGGTTGAGTTCTCTGCTAACCATTGTGTGATTAAGGACAAATAATCCAAGGTTATTCTTATTCAAGGAAGGCTTAAGGATGGTCTTTACCAACTTCAAATTCCAGCTTTACATTCTGCTTCCAAATCAAATCTGGCTATTGGTCTCTGTTCCACAGCTTCAGCTTTCAACCCCACTAAAGCTTCACTTCCTTCTCAATTTGCACAATCTTTGGCTTCTGAATTCACCACTAGTTGTAATAATAATACTGTTAAAAGTGACACTTGCAAATCTAAGAGTTCAAGGTGACATTAGTGCTACTCTTGAATCTTCTGCATTTGTTTCTCCTTGTACCAATGATGCTGCTAATAATAAAAGTCACATAATGCAATCCTTTTCAGTTGCAAAGAGTAGTGGAATGTTGTGGCATAAACGATTAGGACACCCTCATGCATTTGTTCTTGCAAAAATTTTGCATTCACTAAAGTTATCTCATGTTGTAGCTAGTACCTTTGATTTTTGCACTGCTTGTCAATATGGTAAGCTACACCAGTCTGTGTTTCCTAGGTCTGCCTCTAGAGCTACACAACCTTTGGAATTAGTGCATTCAGACTTGTGGGGACTTTCTCTTGTTTCTTCTCCTAAAGGTTTTAGATATTATATAAAGTTTTTAGATGATTATAGTATGTTTACTTGGATTTTAACTAGTAATGTATTAATGTTTATCAATTTATCATATATAATTAATTAATTACTAATTTACTACAGATTTACTTAGAACTTGATAATTGAAATAAATAACTAAATATTATATTATTATTCAATCAAATATACTATTTTATTCAAAAATAATTCTTTTAATAACATTAAAACACTTTTAATTGGTCTTAATTCCAATTATACACTTAATTAATCAAAACTTTAATATTAATTTATTATAATATATTAAAATTTTTTATATGGTGTAGTTTATATGTAATAGGGCAATGCTATGTGCACATAGTATTATTGTATGTAATAAGTATACTTGTATATTTATTTAATTAGGTTATTATAAAAATTTAAATTTTTCTATTTTAAATTTTTTATCTGTAAAATTACATAGACCCCTCATTCTTCACAGATATTTAATTTTAGCCCAAGTTCCAAAACAAGATACCCGTTGTAGGTTCCAAGCAGGTTCCAAGCTGGGTATCCGTTGTAAGTTCTTTTTTTCAAGTTCCAGTTCTAATTCCCGTTCCTCCATGTATATGAACCGAAACCAAAACTATACAGTATCAATTCTAAAAAAAAAATCGGAACCTATCTATACAATATTAGTTTTGGGTAGATTCCAGTTTCAATTATGATTCTACCAATAGATTTCGATTCTACCCGGTATCCCTAATCACCCCTATAAATGGCTTGTTTTCCTGGTAGAATGAATTTTGAGAGAGTGTCGTGTTGAACACGGCAGCAGAAGGCAGAAAAATGGGTCCACAAGTAGGCACCGTCTTTTATTGATATGAAGGTGATTGGGTGGCTTTTCTTTTTTATTTTTGCTTCTTCTTATTTTATTTTTTCCCCAGGCTTTACTCACTTGGTTTTGCTTCTTTATCTCAATGGGTCAAAAACTGGAGGAAAAGAAAGATGAATGCATGTCCTAGGTTTTCCCACATGAGTCGCCATATGAACTTGCGTGTAAAGAATATAACCTCTGTGTTAATGATAAAACTATGACTTAAATTTAAATATGAAGTTGTTTGTGGGTGAAGTCGTCTAGAACTACTGTATATATGGAACTGGAAGCCACTCTCTTTTAATTTTTGAAATATTTTTCAATTACTATGACTTAAATATCATTTTGTTTTTGAAGCAGATAAATATACTAGATTATATTATACTTAATTAAAAAAAATTCCCTTAGGAGAAATGGCAGACATAACATAGTGAAGACTTTATTAGATATAAAAATATAGTTAGATAATCTGAAAATAAATCTCACCTTCTTTTTATTTTTAAATAAAAAATTTTATTTAAATTAGATTAGTTTTCCGATTGAATTGGCTCTATAAATAAACAAATACATATTATATTTTTTAATCCATTATAACATAATAATGATTAAAAAGAGATTGAATTGACTCAATAAATAAACAAATACATACCCTATTTTTTAATCTAAGATAACATAAAATAACATAATAATGATTAAGAATATATTGAATTGACACAATAAATAAATAAATACCTACCCTATTTTTTAATCCAAGATAACATAATAATGATTAAGAATACTGCAACAAACAGGTACATAAATTTTTAATATTCTCACTCTCGCCAGAGATATAAAAATTGGACTCTTAGGTCAAACCTGGCTAACTCAATGCCCTTGGGTTCCGGTTAATTTAAAATTGAATTGGCTTGGAATTTGAATTTTTCTTTGAATTAATATCATTTTATTGAAGGTTGATTTACATGTGCGGCATGTGCCTATTCTAACTATCTCAAAATGACAAATTTCTACCCATCAACGCCCCACCTAATTTTTGAACTAAGAGTATATGAGTATCTCTAATGATGTTCTTTATTTTAAAGAACATCTTTTATATAAATAAAGAGATTTTTTATTAATTTTTAAATATAAAAAATAAAATTTTTATTCAAATCCAATGGCCTCTTTAAATTTAATAAAGATGCTCTTTATTTTTTTTTTAAAAAAAACTTAGAGCATCTTTAAATGACTCTGTATATGACATAGACTCTTTATTATAAAGAGTTTATCTATAAAAACAAAAATCCAACATACTCTTTATCTTTAAAATATAAATTAGAGAGTGTGTTTGACTCTCCACATTTAAAAAGTCAAATTTCACTCTATATCCTAATTTTAATTAATAAACTACAAGTTCCTATACATTTTATTTATTAATTCTCTCTCCCATTAAGTCTCTTTCTCACAAATAAAGAGCATTTTCATTAAATCAAAGAGTCATTTGATTTAAATAAAAATTTTATTCTTTATATTTAAAAATTAATGAAGATGCTCTTTATTTATATGAAATATGCTCTTAAAAATAAAGAGCACCATTGGAGATGCTATATAAAAGAGAATTAATAAATAAAATGTATAGAAACTTGTAGTTTATTAATTAAAATTAGGATAGAGAGTGAAATTTGACTATCTGGATGTGGAAAGTCAAACTCACTTTTTAATTTATTAAATAATAAATAGTATGTTGGACTTTTGTTTTTATTAATAAATTTTTTATAATAAAGAGTTTAGGTCATATAAAAAGTCATTTGAAGATCTTCTATGGGTTTTTTATTATTTTCTTTTCTTTATTTGACTTTTTAATTTAATTAAACTTTTATATTTGAAAATTTAATTTATGATTTTAACAGAGCATTGTTATTACAATTTAAATATTTTTCAAAATTCAGATCCCAAATAATCTTTTTGTTTGGATGATTGTTGGGGTGGATATGAAGGAGACTTTAACTCCAAATTTGGCTTAGGCTACGGAGAGTTGAAAAAATCAAGAATGACATCAGGTGGCCGAAGGCTGACCATGGACTGTCAGTAGCATCTCACTAATTTGTTATAATATTATTTTCAATTATATTAATCTCGCGATTAATAATAATTTTTCCTTGGAGAAACTACTCTGCCATAATTGCCTTTAACTACTCTCTATTAAAACTACTCTGCCATAATTGCCTTTAACTACTCTCTATTGGATTTCCACTTGATTTTTAGGGTGTATTTGGTCGGACGTAATCGTTGTTATAGAGATAATGTTATTTTATATTATTTAATTATTATATTTGATTATTAAATAATATAAAATTTTAGTAATAATTTAAAATCAATAGTGATTATTGTTGATTACATAAGAGAGGTAATTTAATTATCTCTATTTTCTAAAGTATTTTAAAATTACTTTGCAATCTATTTTTGTTATAATTTTATCCTTAATTATTAAAAAATTTGGATAATAAGGCCCTTATTTTGAAAACAATTTACAAATATATTCATGGATTATTTTATCCTTATATATAAAATTTTTAGGACATAAATACCCTTGAACTTGAACAAAATTACCCAAGACTAATTATCGAATCTGGCCACCACCGCCAGCGATCGATGGCTGGCCACCACTACCAGTCGCTAGTCGCCGTACGTTGATCTGACTGTAAATCTGACCATTTGTAACCAGATCCATCATGAATCTGGTTGAGGCAGTGGCGTCAGGCAGTCGATAGTGGCTTGGGGTGGGTGGGGGTGACTTTGTTATAAATTAAACTTTTATGTGGTTGAGGTGCTTTAGTAGAATCTCAAATATAGGGGATTAAAAAATAATAATAAAAATAATATTATTTTAAGAAGAAGGATAATTTTATAATTTAAATAATATATTCACTAATTTATTCCTCCCAACCAAACATATCAATATAATAAACTCACCAATTTAATTTAATATTTTCGATAATACAACATTCCCACGAATACAAAACACACTGAGGAGAAATGGCAGGCATAACATAGTCAAGACTGGAGACTTAGACATAAAAATAGAAATAAATACGTTTGCTGGGTTGTTTAGCCGAGTAAATATATCGTCAGTGCCCAATCAGACAAAACTCAACAATCATAAACCCCAGGGCTTTTATTTTTTCACGTGAATAGTAGTCACTCTTGTTTCTTGACCGCATTAGTCTTCAGGTACTCAACAAATCTAACAAAGTAATCTTCCTGCAATTTCTTATTATTGAAATTCATTGTAGCTTTTCTAGCTTTCACTCTTAATTTCTCTCCTTCCTCAGACACCATGGCTTGTGTCAGAGCCTTGGCTATTTCATTCCTGCTAAACGATCCATCTTCACTTCTTTCCACTTCTACAGCAAGACCCTTTTCAACCAGTACCCTTGCATTTAAAGGTTGATCAATTATGAATGGTAACACAACAAGACAATGCCCGAATTGCAAAGTCTCTATGATTGATCCCCACCCAGCATGAAACAATGATCCGCCAATTGATGAATGTCCTAAAATTTCTAACTGTGGCGCCCAACCTATGCAGATCATCCCTTTGCCGTGAACTCTGTCACCGAAACCTGGAGGCAGAGCATCAAGATCATCACTTGCCCACTCAGGTTTCCTCAGTGCCCACAAGAATGGCAATCCGGATAACTCAAGTCCATATGCCATCTCATAAACTTGATCCCTTGTAAGCTTACACTCACTTCCAAATCCTACAAAAACAACTGATTTTGGTTTTTGCTCATCAAGCCATTGAAATATCTTCTTCCATCTCTCATCAGTAATTTGATCTCTTCCATTTACGTTTTCTGGCGTGAGTAAACCAACAGGAATCACCGGTTTTCCGATTATTTTTTCAAATAAATTCAAGTACTCACCTTCATATTCCGGACAGCTACGTATAGCTATAGCTTGACACCCATAGAGCACGTTGGCAGCCCTGTCTATATCTGATATCCCTGATGCATTCAATCCGTAAAGACCATCAAAAGCGCCACTTGCCTCAAAAATCCGCAAAGCTAACCAAGATGAAAATTTAACCCACTCTGGCACTACGGTTAGACTCTCCGGGGATTGCCTGATTTTTGTTTTGTTATCAACCAACAAATCCGGTCCCAAAAAAGCATACATGGATGCTGAGAAAACAGAGAAATGCAAGAGAGGGACTTCATATTCTTGAGCAATCTTGACCGCCCAGTGAGTTAAAACATCACAGAAAATCCAGTCTGGGGACTGCTCAGCTACAAACTGCTTGAAAGGATGTTGAAGGAGATCGTAAGCAATCTTTAAGTACTGAATTTTATCAAAAGAGGGAAGGTCCACTGTTGCCTCGGCTCCTTCAGGCAAAAGTTCGTTACCAATAAAGGCTGGTAATGGAAACTCCACAAGATTGATAAGGGTCGCCAAATTTGGAGGAGGTTTGGGGAGTCTTTGGATGATTTTTGGGGTTGATATGAAGGAGACTTTAACTCCAGATTTGGCTAAGGCTATGGAGAGTTGAAAGAATGGCATCAGGTGGCCGAACGCCGACCATGGAAGCATCGCTACATGAAGTGGTGTAGCCATTTTCGATTATGTGTATGGGAAGCTTGCAAACTTTGACAACTAAAATATACGGCCGCTAGAGATGCTAGAACTCTTTTTCTCTTATATTTTTTACCATTTAATACTAAAAAGGAACACCGTTAAGACATATCCATTGGACTTGTCAGTATTGGAACAAACGACAAGGTGTCATCTATCCATGTAAACACATGTACACGCCCAGCTAGTGGAAACTATAAACTTCAAAACTCCACATATTTTGTGAAAAATCCGTATTAAATTTTTATATAGAAGGAAAGATGATGATATGGTGCGTATTAAGGAACCGGGTATAAGTATATCAGAATAATATCAACAAAAAGACTTTCACATGGAATGTGTATGGCTAACCTAATAAAAACTAGAATTTAGGAGGGCTTTATATTTGGTATAGGAGGCTATTGATGTTTTTGTTGTCTACCACTTCAACAATAAGGGACGAGGCAGATGTATTTGAGGGTCCGTTGTAGGATTTCTTTAAGTAATTTAATTTCTATTATTGAGTTTGGAATTAGGAAGAAGGATCCTAGTAATATTAGGTTTTTTTCTTTAAACCTAGTATGTAAACTTAGTATTCTCTTGTATGAGTGTGATAGCAAACTATAGACAATAAATTCATTGTAACGAAAGAGGTGAGACAGTATTTTAATAATATTGACTCTGCTAAACGTAGCTTGTTAATTGGATGAACTACGGTAAGTCGTTTGTGTTTTTCTTTCACTTTACTAATTTGATATTTGAGTGTGTTTACTTGTTTGATTTCGTTTAACTCTCTAGATTGTTTCAATTGCCTCTAGCATGAAACCAAAGATCATTTAGGAGAGCATTAAGGCATTTGTTTTGCTCAAACAAGAAGAGAGATGCATTGAGGCAAGCAAGGGTTGGTGAGCTTTATATATATAGTGTCACCCTTTCTTTTTAAGTTTTCATATGTAATTTTGGTATCAAGTCACATTATAATTGTTGTGTGTGATTTTTCCATTAAGCTCGAAAAAGTCAGAGTTCTGCGAGGTTGTAGTTCGACCCAGAATCAGTTCAGCTCAACACTTGTCCGACCAGCATAAGCTCGTCGAGATATTACTCGACCTAGCATAAGCTAGTCACGACCAATCCTGACAGTTGTTCGAGTAGATGATAGATAAGATCAAATCCTGGATATTTCGGAAGAGATCATGTCAACAGTAATGATAACATGATCTTAGCACTCAATCGCGAGAATATCGGAGTTGCACTTTAATCTTGATTGCAATTCCTCTAATTTCGCTCTTTCCTTTGTAAAAAACTTGTATATACCACCTCTTCCAATGATGGAAAAGGGGTTAGCAAATTGTTCTAGACCTATTACTATTTTCTTGTAAGCTCTTTAAGTAATAAAAAAAATAGTGAATGTAGGCTCAAGATTCAAACTTGGCGAACCACTTTAAAAACTGATCGTGTTCTTTACATTATTGTTCTTACTTTCATATAACATTGTTGATTATCTTTAATCATCTACACATCGATTCTGACTCTAGTTCCATCAAGGTCAATCGGATCACTTTAGTTGGTGTAATTCTTGCATCAACATTTTGGCACTAGAATGAGGGGTCTCCGCCTACTTTCAAAATTTCTAACAAACAATTTCAGTGAACCGATCACCTGAAACCTCAAATGGCCCCTACCAAATCAAAAACCACTACCGAAAACCATGACAACGTGGAAACCGTCAATTAGGAGGTGCAGCAGACTGCTCTTCTAGGTCGACCACCAATGTCGCCAGTGCAGCAAGTCGCGAATCAACAAGGGGCAATGACTTCGAATCCCGAGAATGGCCAGCTGATAGAGATGATAAGGATGATGGTTGCACAGGCAATACAACAAAATATGGCTGAATTAAGGAATCACAACCAGCCTACTAGGACCTCATCAACCATGCTTCAGAAAGGTTACTCCAATGGGCCAAAATGGCTTAACCTGCTACCAATCTGGCTCATCAGCACCAAAGAGCAACTGTCACCCCCGACACCACAAGGCGCCTTTCGCTCATGAGCGTGAATCCTGCAAGCAAGTTAACCTCGGGAAGCGACTAGGCAAACAACCTATGGGGCAAAATGAAGACCATGGTCGACAAAAGGATGCTCGCCCTAATCGACGAAACAATGAACACCAGCGTGCCGGTTTTCACCCACGCCAAAGGCCAGCTCAAACCTAGCAGGCTCACGAGATGAGTCGTGCATGCCAATCTGGCAATGACTGATGTTTTGGTTTTAACCAACGTTGCAAGCAACGCACAGATGAGCATGATAACATCTATCAATCTATCAATCATGACTCCACCTTGCGCACTAATGCGCGTGATAGAGAGGCTCACAAGCAACTGATCTCCAAACTCACCTGCTTGAGGTAAGACTAAACAAAGATTACAGCCAAAATACTCCTCATAGTGAAAACTTAGATTAGGTGCAAAGAATGCTCGACGATCTAAGATCCCACCAGAATAATTTAGCGGAAGAGATAGTAAGTTCTCTGTTCACGGAAGAAGTTCATCAGGCCTTGCTCCCCCAAGGATTCAAGGTGCCAGAGAGAAAGTTCGATGGGAAAGGGGAGAGACCACCTTGACTCTTTCAACAACCTAATTGAGCTGCATCAAGTCTTTAACTTGGCAAAGTGTCGTTGTTTCGCAGTCACTTTAGTAGGGAATGTCAAGAGTGGTATAAGAGGCTCAAGGCAAACTCAAAACAGTATTGGCAACAGTTCTCTTCATTGTACTTACAACAATTCCAAGCGATGAGATAATTCGTAATGCCACTCAGCTATCTGAGTAATATTCGTTAGGAAAAAGATGAAACTCTGACCTCGTATTTAACAAGGTTCCAGAATGAACAAGCAAAAGTCACGGATGCACCTGAAGAATCAATCTGAATTTTGCTTATAGTAGGAATAAGGTCGTAGACGGAGCTGTGAAAAGATTTTCAGAGCAAAAACCATTTGAGCTCGGCCAAGTTCTATCAAATAGCCACCAAACTCAGCGAGTAGAAAGCTTGCTGGCTGCCTTAGCAAGAAGCTCACCTAGAAGAGCCTCTAAAAGGCGACAAGATCGTCCAACAGATAAAAGAAGGGTCAGGATCACAATGAGGGATCAAAACAGGTTCTAGGGAAGGCAGAAAATAGAATCTCGCAAAGAAAGGCAACATTTTTCACAGTATACAAAGTATAACCCCCCTAACGTAAGATGTAACTCACATCTATGAAGTCTGTCGCAAGGCAAGCAAAATACCTGTGCTAGAAAGAATGAGGAGACCACCAGGTAGAAGAGATCTTCAAAAATACTACAGGTAGCACCGAGACATTGACCACAACACTAATGAGTGTCGGTCTCTAAAAGATGCCATTGAGGACCTGATCAGAAGAGGCCAAAAGAATTTGTCAAAGAGGAGCCAACTCGCGAAAATCCAGGCGAACAAAGTAATTAGATCCAGCAAACCCAGCCGAAAGATGATGTTTTGGTGGGTATGATCTATGGGGGACCCAACATTGCAGCAATATACACAGGAGGCTAAGACTGACTCGGTCCCCCGAGTAATGAACAGTGAGCAAAAGCCACCAAAGCGGCCCAGGTAAGAAAGCGAGGTGATATGGTACACCGAGGAAGAATATGACCAATCTCTTCGCCACAACCATGATGCAATTGTAATCGCAACGAGGATCGGCAATGCTTGAGTACTCAAGGTAATGGTCGACAACAGTAATGCACCAAACATCATTTTCTTGGGAGCTTTCTAAGAGATGAGGTTTACCAAGAGAGATCTAAGGGCATGTCCATTGCCACTGTATAGATTCACCAGGGATAGCTTGAACCCCAAGGAAACAATCGAGCTACCCGTAACTCTGGGGAAAAAGCCTTAGATAAGGACGATGATGATAGAATTTTTAGTGGTTGACTGCCCGACAATCTACAACGTCATTTTGGGAAGGCCAATCCTGGATGACCTAAGTGCAGTCACCTTAGTGCGCTGCCAAGCAATGAGGTTCCTAACTCCAGACAGGGTCGCAACAATCAAAAGTTGCAGGAAAGATTCAAGGGAGCGTTATAATCAGGTCATTCATGCTGCACAAAAATGGCCACTCCCGAGAACCATGGTCATTATTGAGTCTGAGCCAAAGCCCGGACCACTGGAAGACACCATAGATTCCTGCATCCATAAAGAAGAGCCTATAGCAAGGCCTACTTAGGAATTGCGAGAAGTACCTGTCAGCAAGGAAGACTTAACTCGCATGCTGAAAATTGGGAGTAATCTTAGTGATGAGCTGGCAAACAGTCTTGTGGGGTTCCTAAAGAAAAACCTTGACATGTTCGCTTGAGTACATGCAGACATGGTGGGGATCAGTCCCAAGGTAATGTTTCATAGATAGAACATCAACTCAGAGGCTCAACCAATAAGACAAAAAAGAAGATCCATGGATGTTGAGTGATCTAGAGCGCTCAGAGATGAAGTTGATAAGCTTCTGAACATCAACTTCATTCGAAAAGTAAAGTACTTGAACTGGCTCGCCAATTCGGTCTTAGTGAAGAAGTCAAATGGTAAGTGGCGGACTTGCATCAACTTCACTTATTTGAACAAGGTTGTCCTAAAGACAGCTTTTCGCTGCCCCTGATCGATCAATTAGTAGATGCAACAGCAGGGAACACACTACTAAGCTTCATGGATACTTACTCGGGATATAATCAAATCTCGATGTATCAGCCCAATGAAGAACAAACCTCATTTATTACCGACCAGGTATCTATTGTTACAGGGTTATGCCATTTGGCTTGAAGAACGCCAGAGCGACTGATCAACGATTGGTGAATCAAATGTTCACCAAGCAAATTGGTAAAACCATGGAGGTGTATGTTGACAACATGCTTGTTAAATCAAAGGTCGTCGAAAGCTACATCAAACACATGGGAAAAATGTTCGATATCCTAAAAAAATACTGAATGAGATTAAACCCTCTGAAGTGTGCTTTCGGGGTAAGCTCAGGGAAGTTTTTGGGCTTCCTTGTAAATCAGTAAGGTGTTAAAGCCAACACAGACAA